ACGTGTGGCCAAGTATGGTAACCCATACTTGGAATTTGTGCTCTGCATGTAACCCATCCAAGTGCATACACAGCAGTGAATAGTGAACAAACACGCACACCGTGAACACACACCTGGAGCAGTGGGCAGCCATTTTTGCTGCGGCACCCGGGGAGCAGTTAGGGGTTCAGTGCCTTGATCAAGGGCAGTGATGGGCAAACTTGGCCATTCCAGGCCACTTTCCTGCAGAGATTTGGTCCAATCCTGATAAAACTCACCTTCCTGTAGCCTTCTAGTAGTCTTGAAGACAATGATTAGCTGGTTCAGGTGTATTTGATTAGAGTTGGAGCTAAACTCTGAAGGAAAGTGACCTGGAAGGGCCAAGTTTGCCCACCCCTGCTCAAGGGTCTCACCTCAGTCATGGTATTGAGGGTATAAGAGAGCGCTGTACATTCACTGCCTCCACCTACAATCCCTGCTGACATTGAACCCACAACCTTTGGGTTACAAGTCTGACAGTCTAACCATGAGGCCACGACTTCCCCTGAGACCAGGCCTGGGACTTTACATTGTGGTTTAGTTTGTTTATGGAGCAGTCTGCAGTGAGGCAGCTGCCGCTTACTTTGGTTTTGTTATTAAAGTTAAGTTTGCTGGTTCCCACTTTCTTATTCCCAGAGTCTGGAGTCTTGGTCGCGACCCAGGGTTTGAAAACCTGTGTTTTAGATTATAACAATGATCATAACTAGTGTTGTCAAAAGTACTGATGTCGGTACTGAAATATAAAAAATGTGATGATATCAGCATTTGCTGCTAGCATTTTGAGCACTGTTGAGCAGATTCTTGAACCGCTCTGATTGGCCATTGTGCTCTCGTGCTCAACTGATATGTCTGTGATTGGGTACAATGATCTTCGCTGCACGCTCTTCACCGAGCGCTTACACAGATACACACAGAAGTGTCTGAAAGCCGCGTCTATCAGCGGATCCGTCTGTGAGCAGATATATTAGGGATCCGCTGATAGATTAGTTGACAACACTAATCATAACAATTTATTAATGACAATATTAATTAAGTATCTATTTGCCTCTCTACTTCAGTTATCAGTGGGTGCGTTTTGAGGTTTGTCGGCCTGGTGACGGACAGGTGGCACATGGCCTTTCGGAAGATGATGCATCTGTGAACTTTGAGTCCTTTCAGCAAGTGCAAAGCTGTGAGGAGAGCCTGACCAGTCAGAACCTTACAACAGAACACAGCAGCACAGGTCAGACAATTACCACAAACCACAACAAAAGAGTTTTGCATAATTATATCATTGCTGTTTCTCAAGTCACATTTATTTATATAGTTCTTTTTACAATACCGATAGTTTCAAAGCAGCTTCACATTAATAAACAGAAAAGTAACAGTATTAATGTTGCATAGGTCATTAATTATGAATCAAGCTGTTCAATTCAGGTATAAGCAGCTCTACAGAAGACAGCTGTGTCATTATCCAGCTCAATTATGTGTTCATCCAATAGTGCCATTAATTCAAAAATATCACTGAGTATTAATTGTCTTTTAAACCCCAGGTTTAAATGCTGAAGCAGATTGTAACCATTATAATTAAACTGATGGGCTTTATGAAGGATATAAATACATTTTGTTTCTTTTACAGTGCGTCCACAACAGCCTAACATCTCGTCTCACCTTCTGAGCTCAGCAGCGCTGCAGACTGCTGTAACGTCTCTCTCCAAAACTTGAGCTTATTCTAACACCTTTGTCTGACAGTTTCAAAGTGATTCATATCCAGATGGGTCCTGTTTATAGATGCGCAACCTCATTATAATTAAGCCTATCATATCATTCATTATGTGGCACTCAGATCTGCAATATGAAACAAATAATGCTGGTTAAACTGGATGCATCCCTGCATGCCGCAGTATGGAGTATGGCTTTTAGACTATTTTTACATAACAAAGCAAAATCCTTGTCAGGTCTGTTGTTATTCTTTGTACTGTTAATGTGTGTTATCAAAGTGTGATCCTAGTCTTTACTGTGAAATACTTCAGATAAAACAGACATAAAATGGTGGATTAAATCAGCCCTTAAGCTTTTAGTGTTAAAGTTTAAGATTTCAACTTGTTTTGCCAGTTCTGTAGAGCTCAAAGGCTCCTTCAGAAGCTACACAATACAATAAGCAAAGCCCTTACGGCTTTCATCTTTCATTATGTGGGTCATTCCATGCATGTGATGAGAAGGCTTTGTACCGTGAGAACAGTTCTCCTCGAATAACAGAAATTTTGTCATTCCACCTCTATTGGTATTTGTAATGCAATGTCATTCTGTGCTAAATGTAATATTTCAGAATATATTAAACGATTGAAGTTTCACACCCTGACAGACATGCTTTTATCTTGTGGGAATGAGAAGAAAATGTATTATAATCTTTCGAGGTTAAAATACCTCAGACAACCACTAAATGTCACTGTAGAGCTGTGAAAAACATGACTTCACATCATGCACCTCACTGACAGTATCTACAGCACAAAGGCTCACACACCAAATGCTTATTAAATAGAAGATAAATGTGCCTTATAAATCCATTTCACGAAGAGTTCATATTTTGTGTGTTATGTCTGCATCAGTTGTACATTTTTGGCAGTTGCTTCACATCTTGATGTTGTTTTAACAGCTTTGAACGCTTCATTTTTAGTCACTCTTAATATTTTTAATGCTTTTTTTTCCTGGTCTTATTTTTCAATTACTTAGCATTTTACATTGCCTAAGACAAAAAAAAACGTGCTCTGCCTCTGAGGACACTTTCCTTTTCGTAACTCTCTTCCTACTGCACTGACCTTCCCGAAAGCCTTAGAGGTTAGAAAACACTGACTGAGTTCACAGATATGTTTTTGTGATCATATCATTCTTCATTACTATTCTGTAGTTGACTATACGTGTTACTTTCAGGGTTTGAATTGAACATTTTCACTCACCAGCCTATTTGGCTAATACATTTACTGCCCTGTTGAAATAACAGCATATGCTATTTAGGTATGTTTTGATGCTGGTTTAAGCTGGTCCTTTGCTGGTTTAAACTGGTCCTTTGCCCGCACATGACCAGCATAAACCAGCAAAGGACCAGTTTAAACCAGCAAAGGACCAGCATAACCCAGCACATGACCAGCAAAGGACCAGTTTAAACCAGCAAAGGGCCAGCATAACCCAGCAAAGGACCAGTTTAAACCAGCAACGGACCAGCATAAACCTGCAAAAGACCAGCTTAAACCAGCATCCCAGCGTCAAAACATACCTAACCAGCATATGCTGGTTTTTTCAACAGGGTGGTCATTTTGAACTTATGCTAGACCAGATTTTCGAAAGCACGGCTTAGATTTAAATAGTTTGATTCTGAATCATTGAATGGCTTTCTGTTGTACAATAAATCCTTGTTTGCAGATACTGCAGGTATCGCACATAAGATGCGTCATTCTGTACTCTCGTTCAAAGGCAATTGAGGATTTTGAACAGCTTTTGGAGTTGTAGCAGGGTGCTGTCGGCAGATGCAAAGTGGTGCATTGTTACACAGAAAAGCATTTTAAAGATGTAGACCCTCTTTATGCTTTGTTTTGCTGATCTAGCTCCTGGTTCAAAGACATCATTTATTAATCATATCTCACAAAACTGGCTAGTGTGTTCATATGTGTTACCAGACATGGTTGATTTTTCACCTGCTTTTGTTCGTTTCAAACCCTGGATACTTTCCTGTCACTCAGATGAAGCTGTTGTCACTGTGGTTTGCCACATCGTTGTCTCTTTAAGGGCACCTAACCGAAAAGCTCATGTCACTGTGACCTCACCCTGTTAAAGACAATTGACAGCTAAGACAGGAAAGAGACTCATTCAGATGCTGACCTGCTGGTCTTGAGTACAATGCAGTCAATGAGGGGAGGGCTGGGTATCCTGAGGAATGGCAGGTGTGGAGGGAGGGGGTCCCAGCTTCATTACTGTCTTTGTGAGTGTGACAGTGTGCTCACTTATGTGTTTTAAGAGGACTGGACTTCCTACATTTCCTCACGGACGGGTGGGAACAGGAAAGCAAGAATTATATCCGCCCATTCCCTGTCTGTAAGAGGTCAAAGTTCTCATTTGTCACTCACGAGTCTGGCACTCTCACTCTCTGCTGACCTCTGACTCACGTTCCCTATACACTAATATAATGCACGTCAGTACACGCTTTATAGCTTTATCCTCCACCTGGGTTAGTGAATCACTATCACTAGTTTGGACCAACTTGCAAAAACAAATGCATAAGTAGTGCTTTTTTTTACCATTTCACAAAGTGTTAGACCATTTTACTGTTAACTTGATTTTGTGATAAAATCAAGTACAATAATAATAAAAACGTGAAATCAGCGGTTTAAAGTATATAAGTGATAGTACTGTATAACTCTGTACTTCACTTGAGTTCTGTTAAAACCAAATACTTATACTCATTTACATTTGCAAGGAAATATAACTATACGTTTTACTCCGTTACAATTTTATGTAGACTTAAAAATAAAAAGTGCATAAGTCATCCTGATTTAAATCTTTCTGTGATTTCAAAAATGTCTTTGATGTAAAAAGATTGTTTTCTTGTATTTAAACGGGCAATTACATTTTTCAGTGTAAATACTGAGAATTTATTAATTTAGATATATATATAGGTAGATCGTAAAATTAAATGTGGACTATTTTTGCCTTGGATACTTTTTTGTAATTTAACAAATACAATTTCTCTACTTTTTACACTCCCGTGTAAAATGCAGCATGAGAACTTTAAGGAGCATATTTGAATGATGAATCTGTAAACAGTTCATTGAATTTAACCATCCAATCAAAATTATTTTGTAAAATCGTACTGTGAAACTAATAAAAAAAATCTGCCCACAAAATGAATGAATTAGCATGCTATAATACTGGAGGTAGTGAACATGAAAGTGAACGCTGACTCACTGACACATACAGTAAACTGCTGTTAGGAGCAGGACGCTCTGTGAACAAGTTTCCTTTTATTGACTTCACACAGCTTACCAAATGGCAATTAGACAATAAGCGTCAGTAATACAGAACAAGATTACCAAACACACACACACCCCGATATACCAATTGCACATACACGCACAGAAACACATGCTTTGGTTGATAAAAGCACTTTAATTAGCCTACAATTCGATCTTGCGGCAAATACCATCTTGAGTGGAAAGAGTGAAAACAGGAAATTAAAATGGCGATTTTTGCAAGGAGTCAGCATACAAAAATGGTGAAAATTGATATGTACAAAATATGTACAATGGTGCTATATACATCCAAGATAAAAATCTTGTACATCTCCAACATGACAGGCAATAATTAGCGAGATTTTAAGGATGTCACCTGGCACTTTTTCAGACGCCGCTGCTATCTTTCTCCATAATTCCTTCAAATGTCAATCACGGACACAACTACACTGTTTTTACACAAGTATCAAAAATTCAGGGAGTTGCGATAATGTGCATGGCTTTGTGGAAATGTATGGCAAACCGTCCACAAACAGTCATACATATACACTTACACGCTCATAAACACACGCACACTTACAATCAAACAAATGTGTACAAAACATGTAGGTGTAAACACGATAAAATACACTTAAGTATCCAGGATTCCAAGAAGTTGAATTGCTGGCCTTAAAAACACTTGCTGTTAACCAGACAGGGTCCGAAATGAACACTCGCCAAGTGCAAAATGTGCATAAAATGGCTTTGGGGTAAATAAAGTGAATGTTGAAATGAATGTTTTAAATTGAATTATACAAATGATAATCTCATCCTCACTGATGTAAATCACGTGAGTGATTAAAAATCAAACAGTCTACTAAATAAGTCCATAACTTATTTGGAAATTATGATTAATGACCAGAATTTTGTGATGTCATATTTTTTATGTCTGAGTTTACCCACCATTGACAAGTGTGTTAAAATTTTGGACCCTGTCTGTCCGTACAATTTCTTCAGCCTGTGACTGTGCCAATAATTCCCTTCCAAGTTTGAACCCTCTCTGTAATGCAAAGCTCAGAGGTCAAGGTTCACCAGCAGAGGTTGATTAGAAAGAAGAAGTCAGAATCCTTCCCAGTGGTCAAAGTGCGGTCACACCTCCAGTTCCTGGTTCTCTGCATAGTGGAAACGGTTTAGTTTCTCCCGTTCGCGGTTGCAAATGTCCAGCTTGGGCCCGTGGGCTGGTTTTAGGGCTGGAGAGGGCACAGCTGAGGGAGAAAGTGTAAGTTCAATATCTTCACTGCAGAGCACTGGCATGGGCACAGTGGGCACAGAGGTGGGCACTGTTTGGGCAGGAGGCAGCAGGGCCATGCTGTGGTCGAGGTTACGGATGAGAGTGCAGAACTGCCGCTGGTTGTTAATGGCGTTGTCCTCAGGCGCTGAAGTACGTAGCTGCGCTTTGGTCCGGTGGCGGCGGTGCAGGCGGGACAGCAGTAGTGCGCACACAGAGCAGCTGCCTGCCACAAGCAGGGCAAATACACCCACCAACACCATATAAATACTGAACCCACCTCCACCTGGGTCTGACACTGCACCTGAATTGAAAGAGAGGCAGAGAAAGATCATTCCAACACCGTTATACATACTAAAGTTGTTTTATTCACCTTTTTATGTGCCACCATGTTTCAATATTTATGCTCCTAACCTTGGCAATGGAGTTCATGACATGGATTCTTCAGGCTCAGGCACTCATTTCCAAAGTAACCCTCAGGACAGGTGCACTTGTAGCCTTCTTCTGTACTACGGCATGGTACCCCCTTCGGGCAGGGGTTGGGATTACAAAGATCCAGTTCCACCTAAGGTATAAAACCGTGATTTAATTTTACTGTCTATTAAAATATGGACGCTGATAAATTCAGAAGCTATGCATAAGTCACAATCTTACAAAATAGAGCTGCATTTCCATGCTATATTAGTGTTTGCAAGGCAGCAAAATAATATTGGTCAAGTTTTAGGCGTAGCTATAGATGACTAAATAGATGCAAGAATTAAAATGCTAATTAACATTCAGTATGCAAATATATGCAAAAATGAAAGAAAAAAATCACAATTGAGCATGCAAATATGCAGTGTTGTCATCGCTGTCGGTTAGATTTTGAAAGACGAACATTTAAACATTGTAAGAGCTGGAATACACTACACGGCTTTTGCCCTCATTTTTGCAGTCTAGATTGGCTGATGTTACTGGCAGAAAGTCTGCAGATTTTAGGCAGTCAGAGTTGACAGATTTCTCAGAAAATTGTGTTGTGTATGATGGAAACAGGCAGAATTTTCTATTTAGATTCCATCCAGTTTGAATATATTAAATATGTTTGATATTTTGTGCTAATTTTGGAACAGATTTCAAATTTGGAACAGCTCATTATTTTTTTTCACACATCTCCTAGAAATAAGGCACATGTTTCTGCATGGATTTGTAGAGTTCAGAACTATCTGAAAGTCTGGTAAAGTATGATCCTCAGTGGCTTAGCGTATGATGCCTAGTTTTTCTCTGAAACCATTTTCAAAGTCACCCAAGTGTATGAGGCCTAGTGTTTGAAAATATATTCAGATTTGTATTTTTAGTTGTGAAGAGTATGCCAGTCAACAGTACCATGAAAGTCATAAAAGACAGCAAACCTGTGGGTTAAATTAGTAGTTTGTTGTTCTAAACCTGTATGACTCTTTTTCTGTAGAGCACACAAAGAGAATTTAGTACATAAAAAATGTATTTGCTCTTTTCCAAGCAATTAAAAAGAATCTCAAGCTTTAAAGACGAGTCTACAGGATGAGTGAATAATGGCACACTTGTCTTTTTTTAGGTGAACTAGCCCTTTAAAGCACAAAATGAAAACGGACCCTATTTACTTTGATAGCACTCATTACTAGTTTTGTGATGAATAATTAATCCACAGAAAAAAAATATCTTTGTAATCTTTAGTCAAATTCTGAAAATTTGCTTCCCCTCTGGAAATACGTTCCTTTGGGTAGAATGTCCTTAATCACTCCCCTCCAACCACCAATCTGCTACAAGCTAGACAATGTGAGGATGTGCACTAAAATCAAGCATTCTCATTCCATTCTATTTTATTCTGAAATTCGCCACAATTCTGAAGTCTTCACAACTTCCAGTTCATGTGATCGTTAAGCATTCTGAGCTGAAAAAAAATCTAACTGTGGTGAAGAAAAAGCAGCCATCTCTCACCTCACAGTAGGTGCCAGTGTATCCCAGCGGGCAGCTGCAGAACATGCCTCTGTCACCCTGACGCTCCACACACTGCCCTCCATTTACACAAGGGTTGCTGTCACAGGCGTTTACTGCTGTCTGGCACAGTTTACCAGAGAACCCCGGCAAACACACACACTGAGAGTCCTGCACATGGAACACACAGGTTAGCTGTACTGAAGGAGAAACTTCACATCCTCGAGGTGCAAGTAAGCTTATCGAGATGAATCGCATCTTACCTTACAGTGTCCTCCATTCAGACACAAGCCCTGGCAGCTACTGTTCCCTGTTGAATAGATGATATTTAAAATAAATCAATAAATCAAAATCCAACCAAGTGGAAACCTACAAGTTTCACAGAAGAAAGAGACTAGCTAACTACATTCATCAATAAAGTATGAATCTGCAATGACTGTGTGAACAGACTGCGGTGGGAACAAACTCACAACGAGTTCATCCTGAAGTCATTTCCCACCACCACTGAAACTATCATGTTTGATTTAAAGCTAAATTTTTTTTTTTTTTTTGCAAGTTCTGTGAAAACCACATCTAATACTCACGGATGTCACAGTTTGGTCCCGACCAACCGGGAAGGCAGTCACACAAATATCCTCCAATCAGATTACGGCAGGAACGGGCATTGACACACAGGCCAGTCTCACATTCATTAGTGTCTAAGGAAGAGGAAAGAAGCACAGTGATAAAGTGAGGCTATATTTAGCACACTTCCATACTACTATATCTGCAGTACATAATACGTTTAATTGGCATCGTATGTAAATTTTATGAAACGCAATACCCAGATGACCTTCTTTATTTGCCACAATGTGCAGTATACGCCAGAACATAATGAGCCGGGTACAGTGTATCCCACACTGCCATGCACTCGACTTGACCTCCAATTTCCAGTAGAACTAATGAAGTGAAAGTAATATCCACCACAAATTTTAACATCTTTTTCTGGACTGACAATAGTTATTTAAGACATTTTATTTAAGACTGGATGCAAAATAACAATTTTTATTTCCAATATGACGTTACCATGGTTAAAGGATGTGGTTTGTACGAACTGAAGTGAAATTCAATAAAGAATTGCATGATAATTATAATTCATTAACAGAAGAAATAGTTAATTAGCCAAACGTGTTGCTAAAATAACGAAATCAAAAATCATTTGCTTGCCAAATTAACAAAAATTTTAATTAATGTGCAGTCAAAGCAATCAACATGGCTCATCCAATCAAATTTTAGACTAAGAATTGTTTTATAATATAAACTACCTTTGAAAGGTTTGGGTTCGTTAAGATTTTTTAATGTTTTTAAAAGAAGTCTCTTATGCTCACCAAGGCTGCATTTATTTGATTCTGCATAATTAAGGGCGTGGCCACTTGAGTGACAGGTGAATTGGCGCTGCTGTCACCACCGTCGAGCTAGGTGGGCGTGGTTTCAGCAACCTGCTCCCGCCTCTTTGCTCATTTTCGATTATACGGGAATGACGCGCGGTGACGCGCTGCCAAGATGGCGATGGCCCGCTCCGCCCACTTTGAGCTTCAAAAATGCTCTTAGTCTTCGGAAATCTACGGGTGACATCACGGACACTACGTCCATGTTTTTATACAGTCTACGGTTAAAACACACAACTCACTCTCAAAGACAGATCTCTTTGTGCTGACGCTAACGGCTGTTTTCTGAGGTGTCACTGTGACACATGACTGCATTTCCCAGAGTGTCAACAGTTCAGAGACACTGATACACTCCAGAGAGCCACAGCTGATTTGGGCCTCGGGGCAATGGAGTGTGAGAGAGACTCTCCCAGCAGTCAGCAACATCAGCGATGGATCCAACCACAGGTCCTCTTCATTCAGCAATTAAATCCACTGCACACTGTAGCATGAAATTGTCTGATGTGGTTTAACGGATAATGGTCAGTGGAGCACTGATGCTGCTGAATATTTTCAATGTGGCTTGTGCTGATATGGAATTTATTAACACAAGATGTGTTTACTTTCCCCAGAAAGCTGAGTTTCCCATCTCTGGATATGATTGTTATGATTTGGTGGTTTGAAATGGCAAACATGGTGGTGGTCTCATGGTTTCTGTAATATTTTTGCAGGGTTTCTTATATTTAATTCCTTGGTGCCTTTCTAGTCTATATACCCTTAGAGTGAGGTGAGGAACCCGAGCATAAACAAGAAAGAACAGGTGTTCACATTACAGACAGGTAAAAACAGACTGTGACAAGTTTAGGCAGGTAGAGGCAGGTTTCATCAGGTGAGGCTGTGGATGGGAACGACGTAAGGCCAAGTTAGGCATGTGCGGACATGTATGAACGGCTCAGGACAGCTGAAGCTAGAGTGTTGCTTTTAATACTTACCGAGCTGGCAGGTTCTGCCAGTCCAGAACGGAGGACACAGACACTGGAAACCTTGAGGCGTCTCTTGACACGTGGCCCCACGCCCACAGGGATTAGAGTCACACTGCAACACCACTGCAGACGAAAAGAACATGTTCTCTGTCTCATCATGTGATTTCACTGCCTTAAAATCTACCCATCTGTCCATCCATCCATTTATCTATCTGTATGTCCATCTACTTTATCTACCATCCTCATGTCTATCATCTATCTATATCCATCCAACAACTGTATCTACCCATCCTCCTGTCTGCCCGGTCTCATGGTTTCTGTAATATTTTTGCAGGGTTTCTTATATTTAATTCCTTGGTGCCTTTCTAGTCTATATACCCTTAGAGTGAGGTGAGGAACCCGAGCATAAACAAGAAAGAACAGGTGTTCACATTACAGACAGGTAAAAGCAGACTGTGACAAGTTTAGGCAGGTAGAGGCAGGTTTCATCAGGTGAGGCTGTGGATGGGAACGACGTAAGGCCAAGTTAGGCATGTGCGGACATGTATGAACGGCTCAGGACAGCTGAAGCTAGAGAGTTGCTTTTAATACTTACCGAGCTGGCAGGTTCTGCCAGTCCAGAACGGAGGACACAGACACTGGAAACCTTGAGGCGTCTCTTGACACGTGGCCCCACGCCCACAGGGATTGGAGTCACACTGCAACACCACTGCAGACGAAAAGAACATGTTCTCTGTCTCATCATGTGATTTCACTGCCTTTAAATCTACCCATCTGTCCATCCATCCATTTATCTATCTGTATGTCCATCTACTTTATCTACCATCCTCATGTCTATCATCTATCTATATCCATCCAACAACTGTATCTACCCATCCTCCTGTCTGCCTATCTATCCTCCTGTCTACCCATCTATCCTTCTGTCTATCCATCCATCTACCTACCTACCTCTCATCTGTGCATCCTAGATGTGCATGTGTGTGATTGCTGATTGTTTGTGCTCCAGTTAAGGAGCATTTTTTTTGGTGTAGATCTGACTAAAACTGGCTGCAGCAGTGCAGGAAATAACAGCTTCCTTTGATTGGTGCTGATTGCAGTCTGTGCAGGTGTGTGTGTGCGTTTATATGTTTAACTACCAGAGGCACAGGAGGGTCCCGTCCAGCCCTGCGCACACACGCAGCTGAAGCCTGTTGGGTTTTCAACACACGTTCCACCATTCTCACATGGAGAGGAGAGACAGGCGTGCTCCACTTTAAGGGGACGAGAGGAAGAGATACACACTTATAATCTGCATCACATCTGTGTTTTATATCCTGTGCTATCACCACCTGTGTCAGAAGTGCTTACTGTACAGCTTTATTCTGTTTGGAGCAGAAATGACACATTTCACTTCTGACATGAACAGAGAGTTTAAGCTGTTGTTATCTGTATTTGTCATCTTACAGTGATTCTTGGTTTAAGGCTTTAAACTCCAGATCAGTCTTGCTGTAAATTTATCTCTTATCAACACCTCACAGAGCTACATCAGAGATCACATGATAACACAGACTAAAATTATCATTACAGAGGAGATAATTGGTCAGACTCATGCTGGGTGGCACAGCGAAAAATAAGAGCTGATAGCATGCAGCGCTTCATCTAGGAGTGAGTTTTGACTACAATATTTTTTTTCTTGCACAGCACATCTTTGAGGTGTGGTTGCAATAGGCTGTCAGGGTTGACAGACTTTATGGTTGTGTTTTATAGAGTCATCTCACCGATGTCACAATTGCGGCCACGGAAACCCTCCTTGCACACACACAGGTACTCATTGGGTTCAGTGTTGGTACAAGTACCACCGTTCTTGCATGGGTGATGGTTACCACAATAATTCAGATCTGTATACAAGAGAGAGAAAGATGTTTTTGCAGTTAGGAAAATCTGACAATTTATTATCTTGAAATTTATGTGCTTTTTGATGCGAAGAGCAAAAATTAGACAATAGAACACACTTATTATTGTGCTTTAGCAGCGGAGCCACTTCAGTTTCAACCAACACAGTGGTTTGTAGTGGTGACTGCAAAATTTAGTACCAAACGTCCACTTTCCATGACCCAATCAATTCCTTATGGATAAAATCAAGTCCCATCACATTTTTTTTCCCCCTGTTAAATATCCTGTTTCACCGAATGTCACATTATGGTAATACACTGGGTTATGAATGTTGTTCCATGTTGACTTAAGAAATAAAAAAAAAACTTGTGGTAAGGACAAAACCAATGCAAATTTATCATCATTTAATTTTTCCTTGCAGCAAAAAAGAATAATAAATATCCCTCCAACCAACTTAAGCCAAATTAAAGCCACTTGATTCAGAGTACTGTTTTCTTACTCAAATTATATAAAAACACCTATATACAAACGCATACAAATCATTATTACATGATTTGCAAGAAAAATCATTATTACATTTTAAACTGACTCAAACGGTACTGATAGCTATGTGAAAACAGATGTGATCCAAAACTGATCCCCATGCCATCACTTCCAGCAATACAATATACCAACATCTGTAATAAGAACACATGTGACCTGCACTCTTATCCCTCTTTTCATCCATATGTGAATATGTGTGTATAAGAGCTCCCTCAAATGTACATTTACCACTGGGAACTGTTTCTTGTAGGAAAATGATTTTCTAAACAATAATTGCAAGCTCAGACTCATGGGGCTACACAAAATGCCAGTTTGGTCTAGACACAAATTGAGTTTGACGTCTCAGACTTTGTTTAAATGTAGTTTACTTCATAAATCATACAAAATCTAACCAAGAATTCCTACAAGGTCATGCTTGAAGGGATGAGTTAAACTCAAATGGATTGTTTCCTGAAGATATACCCACAACACACAAGCATGCTTAACTGGAAGAATTATAACCACAACATACAAATAGACACACAAATTAAAACCAGCGCTATGATGGAAAATGATGCAGGCTGCAGACTGGCTCCTGAGATCTTAGTTTAGAGGGAGGGAGAGAGAGAGTGTGTGTGTGTGTGTGTGTGTGTAGCCATTGAGATCTAGCTAGTATCTAGTTTTATGACCTCAATTCATCTGTCTGCATAGGTTTAGTCCTTTGTGTGTGTATATATATTTATGTGTGTGTGAGGGTGTGACAGTGCCATACACTAAACCGCTGAATGGCAAGAGCACTTTTTAGCCTCCACCTCACGGCTTACGTTCTGTTTACCCAAGACTATCGGCTTACATCTCTACAAAGCCCTAACGAAACCCCACGCGTGGGTCCATATCAGCTAATCTGGATCTATTTACACAAATGTTGCCTATACAGTAAGCGATTAGCATGTCTCGGAATCAGTGAATCAAATGGGCACGTGTGATAAAATATGTTTACCGCTTTTCATTTTATTAACGCCATTAACGTCTTTATTCAATATGACACTACTTCATTATTTCTCTCTCCAAAACCCTGCCTTGCAAAGGTGTTGTCAGCAATCCTGCACAAAATGATTGACAGGCAGATTCAGATAAAATAAAGTGTTTTCCTATTTTATTGACATCTGTCAGGTAGTATTTCTGATGAGCTGCAGAGCTACTCTAACCACTTTTTTTACTCCAGCCACCTGCATCAAATAAACATAAATATCATAGGTATTTTCCCCTAATAATTAATTCATTCTAAAAGTTCCCTATATAAAGTTTGGGGTCAGTGAGTTTTTTTTTTTTTTAAGAAATGTATACTTTTATTCAGCAAGGATGTATTAAATTGGTCAAAAGTGACAGAAATTTGTAACATTTTAAATATCTTTACGATTTCAAACGAATGCTGTTCTTTGGAACTTTCTATTCATCAAAGAATCCTGAAAGTCATGGTGTATCACAGTTTACACAAAAAATATTAAGCAGCACAACTGTGTTCAACACTGATCATAATAAGCAATGTTTCTTGCAAATCAGTATATTAGAATTATATGTTGGGATCATCTGAGGAACTGGAGTAGTGGCTGCTGAAAATTCAGATTCGCCATCACAGTAATAATTTACATTCTAAAATAGGTTAAGATAGAACAAAGTTATTTTGAATGGTAATAATATTTCACAATATTTCCGTTTTTATTGTATTTTTGATCAAATAAATACTTATTGTCTTAATCAGCATAAGAAATTTCGTTAAAACACATTAAAAATCTTACGGACCCAAAACTTTTGAAAGGTAGTGTACTGTATATGTAAATTATTTCTGACAAGACAAGTGTTGAAATCAGCCTCTTTCTGCTGTCTTTAAATATGCGCATATATTGCAGCTACAGCTAAGGACAACTAAGTGTCATCCACATATTTGTTTCTTAAAAAGCAACTCATTGTGTCACACGTAAGACAGAAAATTATTAAATTAATCACAAGTAAATATTAAAAACTGATTGATGGCCCTAATTATAAGAACAGTCATTTTTGCACACATATGGACCAGCACATTTCCTTGTATTGCAGGTGTCATCTCACCTTTGTCACAGAGCAGGCCGCCCCAATTTGTGTCACACACACACTTCCAGGGTTCAGTGCAAGTGCCATGATCACACCCAGGAAACGTCTCGCACTCATCGCACAGACCACCCTTCCAGCCATAATTACATCTACAGAGAAAGAGAGAGGTTACAGCAGACAGGAAGTGAGAAAAAGACAAACAAAAGCAAATACTGAATATGGCATGCATCAGCGCTTGGTGGAGCTTGCAGAGAGGGTGTGATATTTCTGAAACCTGGACAGACTCACTTGCACTCTCCGGGCAGATCGCAGGAGCCATGGTCCATGTGACATCCCTGCTTACACACCGCTACACATGCACACAGACGGTTGACTCAGATTAGTGATATGATGATCAAAATCATTCACTACAGACGTCTTACAGGTGCAGAGGATCATTAACACTCATAACTGAATTAGACAAATAGAAAAAAAACTTTCAAATGGACACATAAGCCATTGCCAAATGCAACAGGTCATGATGTGATGCTCCGCTTACTCATCTATTGTTAATATAATGCTAGCTGAATGTTTTCACTTAGGATATGGTGGTAATAGGTTCTCTTCCTTGATCATCTCATAGGAGACATTTCTCTCTCCCTTAAGTCACTCGCAAGCCACTCACCTTGTCTGCACTCTGCTCCAGTCCAGCCCTCCTTACACACCTTAATACCGGAAGGGTCACAGTTGAAATGGCCAAAAAAGTCATCTCGTGCTCGGCAGAATTTGTTGCAGAGTGGGCCGTAGTAATTGGTATCGCAGCGGAATCGCAGGCGGTATTCCAGAGTGAAAGTGCGGCCGTGATGGCGGAAGGACTGCCACTGCTCACCTGGATTCAGCATGGAGGACAGCAGCACGCGCTCTATTAATTCCTCCCTACCTGGGAGGGGGACAGACAGAGTAAAATTAAAAATAAATAAAAAAAGGTAACACTTTATAATAACTTTCATTAATAAATCATTAACAAACATTATATAATGTTTAACTAATCATTACTCATTACCAGGGTGCGAACTACGGAGGAGCTAGGGGGAGCTTGGCTCCCCTTAATAAGCGCTTGCATAAAGCAAGTAGTGCATACACTTGTAGCTGTTATGTATCTTTGTAAGTCATTGTAAGCCCTATTTTGAGGCACGCGCAAGCTCACGAACACCCCCTCAACCCCCCTGTTATAAAAAAAACAAGTGGGCTCTCCCAAAGTCCACGGTATAGTTCGAACACTGCTCATTACTAATCAATATATATTCACATATCTAGAAATATGAGATAATGTGCTTGTTAATGTTACTAATGAACTTATGAAACATTACAAAATGGTTAACAGATCATTATTTAATGTAAATTGAAATGCTTACAAATGTCATTAAACTTTAAATTCATATGACCATGGATTTTTTTTTTCTTTTAATCTTCAAATGATTTTGACGGATGGTTTACAATGATTTAAAGCTTCATTAATAAATCGTTAACAAACATTATATAATGCTTAACGGATCATTAGTTAATGTTTACAAATGTCATTAAACTTTCAATGCGTTTTAAAAATCTACAAATGATTTTTACAGAAATTATACAATATTTACAAGCTTATTTGTTAATGTACTTTTGAATACTTACAAATGTCATTAAACTTCAGTTCACACTTCACATATTAGCTCATGCTCATTTTTACATTTACAAATGTTGTGAAAATATAGCTTATAGGCACTTCACAGATTATTCATGTTAATATATTCATTAGCTCATAATTGTTACAGTGCATGCTTTTATTTAAAAGCGTGGTCATGAAACAGGCATGGGTAGATACACAGCAAAAAGTAATAGAAGAGGTAAGACGAAGAGTAATCCAAAGGCTAACGCGGGTCTGAGATAGGCAAACAAAGTCCAGAGAGCTAGGCAAAAGAAGAATCCAAGACAGGCAGGAGATCAGGAAACAGGCACAAAACTAGACGTGACTAGACTAGAGCTAGGAACTAGGAACTAGGAACTAGACAAAACTCGGAAATGGCTCCGTAACGTTGCTATCACTGACGTGGCGATAAGCGCTAAACAATACTCGGCGTTGAATGGTGGTGTGAGACTGATTTATATAGTGTGTTATTGGTAGCAGCTGTGTGTGATTGGTTTCAGGTGAGCTTGTGATTAGTGCAATGGAGCATGGGAAATGTAGTCCAGGGTGATGTGTAACAGTCTGTGTAGTGTGAGAGTCAGTGTAACGGAAAGGTGACCTCTGGTGGCGATCGAACGGAAGTCCATGGACAGGATTCGTGACAATATATTTAATATAATATCAATATTATTAATCATTTGTTAATGTTTTTGCAGTACCCAGTCTAAAGTGGAAACTATTCATCAATTGTATATGTTTATAAACATTTACTAATCATTAATACCTTTATGAGCAGTCATCTCAATGGCAAAATGTGTCCCAAATGACCGGAATTCTCCCTATTTTCACATCTTTACAAATCATTTATTAATCATTTGTTCATGTTTTTGCAGTACCCAATCTAAAGTGGAGACTATTCATCATTTGTAAATGTTTATAAACATTTACTATTTTTTTTTAGTATCTTTATTGGAACTGAACTTTTAGCTACTTTAACAATGTTTGTGTAAAGGGTGGTTAGTTAAGTTTAGCTAAATGCTTGGTAAAGACATATGACACATTGTAATTTGGGTGCAAAACATGTTTATATCACCTCAAAACTTGTATTAGCATACTATTGTGTATCATTAAACAGAATATTCCTTGAGTCATACATCAACAGGAGGGGGGGGGGGGGGACCATTTTCAAAAAAAAA